TTTATGTTACAATAGGCTTTTTTGATCATAGAAAGATTTTGATCTTTCTTTAAGACTAGGCTTAGAGCAAGAGTTGAACATAGGTCTGTTCCCACAGGAGTCTCTGACAGTTTGCAAACTGTCAGTAAGCATCGCCCATACATGTTTTCAATGCTGTCGTTACAAGATAAATCTGCTACTCTAGTTGAGCGATTGTTTTTGACAGGTTGCAAACTGTCAGAGAATCCTGTGCGAACAGACCTTATAATGCAAACGCCATTAATCAAGTAGGCCGGTAATACAGGTCCCTGTTACATAAGATCCACGAGGGAGGTTCAAAAGTTAATAATCATTCGATATTAAATTTTTCGGTAATTAACGGAACATTGCCTGACCTAACTTTATTTCGTCAAAATAGTGCCTGATGGCCGATAAGGTACTTTTTTCCTCGTAATTGATATTTCACTTGGGAAGATGGCTGCCTCCAGGCCAGGCTCAACCTTCCAGGTGGAAAGTCAAAATTTAAAAGGGCCGGAGAATCGGACGAGCTGAACAAGCAGTGAATCCTTGGCCTGATAGGGAGTAAATGACTATGTCACAATGAGTTTATGTTACAATAGGCTTTTTTGATCATAGAAAGATTTTGATCTTTCTTTAAGACTAGGCTTAGAGCAAGAGTTGAACATAGGTCTGTTCCCACAGGAGTCTCTGACAGTTTGCAAACTGTCAGTAAGCATCGCCCATACATGTTTTCAATGCTGTCGTTACAAGATAAATCTGCTACTCTAGTTGAGCGATTGTTTTTGACAGGTTGCAAACTGTCAGAGAATCCTGTGCGAACAGACCTTATAATGCAAACGCCATTAATCAAGTAGGCCGGTAATACAGGTCCCTGTTACATAAGATCCACGAGGGAGGTTCAAAAGTTAATAATCATTCGATATTAAATTTTTCGGTAATTAACGGAACATTGCCTGACCTAACTTTATTTCGTCAAAATAGTGCCTGATGGCCGATAAGGTACTTTTTTCCTCGTAATTGATATTTCACTTGGGAAGATGGCTGCCTCCAGGCCAGGCTCAACCTTCCAGGTGGAAAGTCAAAATTTAAAAGGGCCGGAGAATCGGTTGAGCTGAACAAGCAGTGAATCCTTGGCCTGATAGGGAGTAAATGACTATGTCACAATGAGTTTATGTTACAATAGGCTTTTTTGATTATAGAAAGATTTTGATCTTTCTTTAAGACTAGGCTTAGAGCAAGAGTTGAACATAGGTCTGTTCCCACAGGAGTCTCTGACAGTTTGAAAACTGTCAGTAAGCATCGCCCATACATGTTTTCAATGCTGTCGTTACAAGATAAATCTGCAACTCAGCTGAGCGATTGTTTTTGACAGGTTGCAAACTGTCAGAGAATCCTGTGCGAACAGACCTTATAATGCAAACGCCATTAATCAAGTAGGCCGGTAATACAGGTCCCTGTTACATAAGATTCACGAGGGAGGTTCAAAAGTTAATAATCATTCGATATTAAATTTTTCGGTAATTAACGGAACATTGCCTGACGTAACTTTACTTCGTCAAAATAGTGCCTGATGGCCGATAAGGTACTTTTTTCCACGTAATTGATATTTCACTTGGGAAGATGGCTGCCCCCAGGCCAGGCTCAACCTTCCAGGTGGAAAGTCAAAATTTAAAAGGGCCGGAGAATCGGACGAGCTGAACAAGCAGTGAATCCTTGGCCTGATAGGGAGTAAATGACTATGTCACAATGAGTTTATGTTACAATAGGCTTTTTTGATCATAGAAAGATTTTGATCTTTCTTTAAGACTAGGCTTAGAGCAAGAGTTGAACATAGGTCTGTTCCCACAGGAGTCTCTGACAGTTTGCAAACTGTCAGTAAGCATCGCCCATACATGTTTTCAATGCTGTCGTTACAAGATAAATCTGCTACTCTAGTTGAGCGATTGTTTTTGACAGGTTGCAAACTGTCAGAGAATCCTGTGCGAACAGACCCTATAATGCAAACGCCATTAATCAAGTAGGCCGGTAATACAGGTCCCTGTTACATAAGATCCACGAGGGAGGTTCAAAAGTTAATAATCATTCGATATTAAATTTTTCGGTAATTAACGGAACATTGCCTGACCTAACTTTATTTCGTCAAAATAGTGCCTGATGGCCGATAAGGTACTTTTTTCCTCGTAATTGATATTTCACTTGGGAAGATGGCTGCCTCCAGGCCAGGCTCAACCTTCCAGGTGGAAAGTCAAAATTTGAAAGGGCCGGAGAATCGGTTGAGCTGAACAAGCAGTGAATCCTTGGCCTGATAGGGAGTAAATGACTATGTCACAATGAGTTTATGTTACAATAGGCTTTTTTGATTATAGAAAGATTTTGATCTTTCTTTAAGACTAGGCTTAGAGCAAGAGTTGAACATAGGTCTGTTCCCACAGGAGTCTCTGACAGTTTGAAAACTGTCAGTAAGCATCGCCCATACATGTTTTCAATGCTGTCGTTACAAGATAAATCTGCAACTCAGCTGAGCGATTGTTTTTGACAGGTTGCAAACTGTCAGAGAATCCTGTGCGAACAGACCTTATAATGCAAACGCCATTAATCAAGTAGGCCGGTAATACAAGTCCCTGTTACATAAGATCCACGAGGGAGGTTCAAAAGTTAATAATCATTCGATATTAAATTTTTCGGTAATTAACGGAACATTGCCTGACCTAACTTTATTTCGTCAAAATAGTGCCTGATGGCCGATAAGGTACTTTTTTCCACGTAATTGATATTTCACTTGGGAAGATGGCTGCCCCCAGGCCAGGCTCAACCTTCCAGGTGGAAAGTCAAAATTTAAAAGGGCCGGAGAATCGGACGAGCTGAACAAGCAGTGAATCCTTGGCCTGATAGGGAGTAAATGACTATGTCACAATGAGTTTATGTTACAATAGGCTTTTTTGATCATAGAAAGATTTTGATCTTTCTTTAAGACTAGGCTTAGAGCAAGAGTTGAACATAGGTCTGTTCCCACAGGAGTCTCTGACAGTTTGAAAACTGTCAGTAAGCATCGCCCATACATATTTTCAATGCTGTCATTACACGATAAATCTGCTACTCTAGTTGAGCGATTGTTTTTGACAGGTTGCAAACTGTCAGAGAATCTTGTGGGAACAGACCTTATAATGCAAACGCCATTAATCAAGTAGGCCGGTAATACAGGTCCCTGCTACATAAGATCCACGAGGGAGGTTCAAAAGTTAATAATCATTCGATATTAAATTTTTCGGTAATTAACGGAACATTGCCTGACGTAACTTTACTTCGTCAAAATAGTGCCTGATGGCCGATAAGGTACTTTTTTCCACGTAATTGATATTTCACTTGGGAAGATGGCTGCCTCCAGGCCAGGCTCAACCTTCCAGGTGGAAAGTCAAAATTTAAAAGGGCCGGAGAATCGGTTGAGCTGAACAAGCAGTGAATCCTTGGCCTGATAGGGAGTAAATGTCACAATGAAGTAAAGTAGTGGAATCAATAGGTGGGTTCGGCTTGCTCACTCCATGCACTCCGAGTGACTCTATTCGCACTCTAGCCGTTCTGGTATTGCTTTTTACCGTATTAGGGGTGACTCCATTAACTCTGTTCACTCTACTCCAACTCTGTGCTGAATAGCCGAACCCAGCTCAATTGATACGTATGAGTGACGTAGCTCAATAATGACAATGATCCGAATTTAGTGGGTAGGATGTTTGATACATTGATATGCTTATTTAGACATGGGAGAGAAAGAGACGGAAACAAATCGCAGTCAACCGCGGTTTAGCATTTGACAGACCAAAACTCCTACTGAACCCAGCTAATAAAGACGAATAAAGGTTATAATATAGGCATTATATGAATTGCCTAGTCCATATTGGTGGCTACAAACTCAGTCGATGGATCATTATACGGTTTTAGGTCCTGGACATGCCAAATTATAAACCTGTAATTATAGTGAACTCGAACCACAAGTAATCCAATAATTTGGCTCCATGTGGCCGAATTTGCATGAAAGAAGAGAAAAAAAAAATAATTATAAAAATATAGATAAAAATGACGTTTTTAAAAATGACGCCCCACGTTGGGCGCCATACAATTTGACACTCTTAAGCTCCACATCTACTGGTATTATTTTTATTCATTCTAATTAAATTTAAATAAAATATTGTTTTTGTTACAGGCTCTTGAATTTGTTTTATTTTGAGAAATTTAAGAAAGATTCAAGAGGCGGTAATAGACAAAAAGTGCAAAACAAATGTCTTTTTATTTCTTTCTTATACAAGCTGGTAGAAAAAGACACGAATACACTCAATGTGCATTAATCCTTCCAATAGAATTTGCTGATAGATTTCAATATTTGACAGCTCATACTGCTTCACCTGTCATATATAGGTTGCGCTCATGGTAAAAAATGTTATGTGAAAAACCAATTTCCACTTAAATATTACAAGCAGTCCTTTTGACGCTGTTAAATTGAGTAGGTTTACATTGGTCATTTAAAACTCATTTATTTTTTTTGGTTTCGGAAAACTAACGGGAAAGACTAATAATGATTATTGTTTTCCATTTTATTATTATTTTGTTTGTTTACTAACTGATTTTGGCATGTTACTAGTTTGGTTTTTTTAAGGCATGTTTTCATAATTTAACCGAGAGTTTAGTTCAAAAAGTCAATGTTAATAATATTGAGTGCCAAATAATCAACACAGGTGTTTTTTGGAAAATTGCCACACAGATTTTCGTGTTTATTTTTAACTCATTTGAAAATCGTTTCTCAAATAAACAAGTTCTGATATTTCCAATGGCTGCTATTGTAAGTAGATTATTTCGCTTGTGACTTTTTGTTCTAACAATCTGACAACATTGCCGATCGAACGAAAACCGAAATTTTCTTTCAGTACCGTCCCCCCGATCACCCGTCAATGGCTATAACGCCCTCCCCCCACCATCATTTGCACGCTAACGCTTTGGCTTTGCAACAGAAGCAGCGCTCGTTTTTGGCCTTCGGTTTCGGCGCCAGCTCGCAACCGTCTCGCCGGGAATCGCACGTCAACGTCAACGTCACTCCGACTTCGCACGACATTTCGTCTGACACTCCGGAAATACGCAAATACAAGAAACGTTTCAATAGCGAAATTTTGTGCGCCGCCTTATGGGGTAAGAATTATTGTTTTGTTTTTTTTTTTTGGCAATTGACATAAGTGTCAATTGTTTATATAGGTGTCAATTTGCTTATTGGTACCGAGCATGGATTGATGCTTTTGGATAGGAGCGGACAGGGCAAAGTCTACCAGCTAATATCCAGAAGAAGGTTTCAGCAAATGGAGGTGCTCGAAGGCCAAAACATTCTAGTGACAATTTCAGGCAAGAAGAATAGGGTTAGGGTCTACTATTTGAGCTGGCTTAAGAGCAAAATTTTGCGAACTGACGGTGTCAGTGATGTGAGTTTTTGACATTTAACAATGACATTGTTGCCAACTTTTTTTTTAAATAATTAGCAAGTGGAACGTCGAAACGGCTGGATAAACGTGGGCGATCTTCAAGGAGCCGTACATTTTAAAATCGTCAAATACGAACGCATCAAATTCCTGGTCATAGCTCTCAGAGACTCCATAGAAATTTATGCGTGGGCCCCAAAACCGTATCACAAATTTATGGCTTTTAAGTCGTTTTGTGATTTGACGTTTCGGCCATTGCTAGTCGATTTGACAGTCGAAGAGGGCACCAGATTAAAGGTGATTTATGGCAGTTCAGATGGATTCCATGCAGTTGATTTAGATTCGGCCAGCGTCTATGATATTTATTTGCCCAAACATGTAAGTTATTTCCAAGATTTTTTCAACATTGTTGGCAACACTGTAAAAAAATTTCAGACTCAAAACGGTATCACTCCACACTGTATAGTAACTTTGCCCAATAGCAACGGCATGCAACTGTTATTATGCTACGATAACGAAGGTGTTTACGTCAACACTTACGGTAGAGTTTCAAAAAATATGCTACTCCAGGTAAATTCAATTAACTAACAAGTGGCAACACTGTATATAACAATTGAATTGTAGTGGGGCGAAATGCCTACATCAGTGGCGTACATAGGCACTGGTCAAATAATGGGCTGGGGCAACAAGGCCATTGAGATTCGGTCAGTGGAGTCGGGGCACCTGGACGGGGTTTTCATGCACAAGAAGGCGCAACGACTGAAATTTTTGTGCGAGCGCAACGACAAGGTTTTCTTTTCGAGCGCCAAAAGTGGCTCGTCGTGCCAGATCTACTTTATGACCTTGAATAAACCTGGCATGGCGAACTGGTAATAATAGTGTGATGATTTATTTAAGAGTGTAATTTTTTTGGTTTTTCGAATATTCAATGGCACGTCTATGGTTATGTAGCTCCTCCCATATAATCTAATAAGGGCGGAGCCTTCATAGACGTACCATAATTTAAAACAAAATGTTGGATGAGTATTATATTGGTGCTAAAATATTTTGTGTTATTTTTTTTGGCAGTAACCGAATAAATTTAAAAGTACAAAAAAAAACTACTTGAACTAGAAATCAAACTCTGTTGCATTTATTAACCTATATAAGTCATCTATCTATATACAGGGTGGTCACCTGTAAATTTCCTTGTTTGGTGCCAACAAAACGCTCACTAAAATGATGATGAATCTGTTGTTGTTTTGTAGATAGATATAAGGATGGATTTTGTTTTTTGTATATATAGGTATATAGGTACGGTAAACACACACTGGACACTTTTTGCATTAATATTCCTCCTAGCACTATAAGATTGTGGGAATTTATCGAAATTCTCTTCTTTTTTTTTTTTTGTATTTTTATTTTTTTAGACATCAGTCATAGGATTTTATACTAAACTTTAAATTTTAGTAAAATTTTATAATAATAAATAAATAAATAAATACCCCCCATGTATAATGTATATGTTTATGTTGCAACAGTGTAATTAATTCCTTCAATGTGAATGTTTGACATCTGTCATAGCTGTCAAAGAAATCCACTAGGAATTATACTTTTTTTTGTGCAATTTGAGACTGTTTCAATTTTTTTTTGCAGAATATGTAGCATTATCACTTCTTATCAATAATAATTGTTTTTGTGAAATAGTCTTGATCCCCTTATATTATTATTATTCTTCTCTCTTTTTTACTTTAGTTCCAAAGAGATGTTATTAAGTGTGATTTTTTTTTTTTTTTTAATTATAGAAAATAAACTATTATACGGATATCATTTTATTATTATTATTCAGATATAAAAGTTATATTATCAAATTTTTGTGTTTTATTTATAAAGGCGTTGATTGGTTCAAATTGCAAATGCTTCTCCACTTTTTGAAACCCATTTTAGGACACTTCAAAGCACTGTAGAATTTCCAGAAACATTTTTAAAAGAGCCAAAATCTTAGAACTTATAAGCATCCAACAAATCCAAATTAGAATTTTCAAAAGCATTTTGAGACAATTTAGTGTAAGACGTAACAACTTGTTCCGCCACTGGAGTCAGCTGTTTACGTTGCTTCCTTATCAAAGAACTGTCATGAGTCAGTCATTCGGTTGACATGAAAGGCAACGAAAGAATAATATAGTTTTCTTTATTGTTTTTTTTTGAGTAAAATTCAATGCCTACAGATTGATAAAAGTTGCTTGCTTCATTATTAATTTGTATTTGATAAGCCTGCTCCTCCGTGTGCGATAGGTGGGCGCGACACAAACAAGACATGGCAGTTTGCATAAATTCGTCCCAATTGTCTTGACTTTTATTAGTAAAATGCTTGAAATAATCTTTTAGCGTAAAATGAGAGCGTTCTAAGGCTCTATCACTTTGAGGTCTATAAATTGATGTGGTAATGTGTTTTATTTTAAAAAGACTATTAACTTCTTCAAGTAGATTAAACGTAAAATCAGTTCCATTGTCTGTCACAATAGTTTTTGGTAATCCAAAAATTAGAATAAATTTACAGAACTTGTCGGTTTTTGACTCATAATTGGGAATTGCGAATACGGAAAGGTCGTCTTGTAGTGTCAAAATAAATTTTATTTCCTGCTTCTGTTACTGGTAGAACACTTCCAATTTTCTTTTGGCTGAACGCCATTTTCTGAAATTTTGTGACAACTTCTTTTTCCATGAACTTTCATTTATCAGGTTGTAATTGAGACAATCTCTGGAATATTAATTTTAATTTTTGTTCATGATCGGAAACATTTCATCCAACGACAATTGGACGAGGTAAACAAAGCATTGAAGTCCGGTTAAAACCGTTTTCATTAATCTTTGAAATACTGCTGGTGCACATTTAAGACCAAATGGCATTCGTAAAAACTAATAATGTACATTGGGCGTAGGAAAAGCAGTTTTTGGTGTATCTCTCGGATCCATTTTGATTTGGTGGAAGCTTAAGGCTAGATCCAGAACTGTGAAATAAGATGCATGTCCTTCACTTTTCCAGAATAATTTCTTTGTGGGAAAAATAAAACAAAAAAAAAGTTATTTCGTCAATATATTATGTTTTTTTTTTTTTTCAGCATCGTGATAATTCGATCCTGGGGGGGGGGGTAATTACCCCCATTAACCCCCTCCCCCCAACGCGACGCCCCTGCAAACAACAGTGTTTCCTTGAACAGTGGGCCCAAATTACAAGATGACATATTTGAGATACTTCTTCGTTTTAGGCAACATGCTATTGTGATTACTACAGATGTGAAAAAGATGTTTAGGCAGGTCTTGATAGCGAATGAGGATAAGGATTTTCAGAGGATTCTGTGGAGATTTGGTCCCAACGAACCTATTGCCCTAAGACAAAGAGAGAGATAAAGTAGGATACAATTTAAGTGCTTGGGTCTGTTCCTTTTTCCGATTGAAAAAGCAAAAAATTCGAAAAAAAAACAACGAAAAATACATTTCAAAGCCTACTTGATAAAACTAAAGTTTTCGTTACTAATCCCATTGCACTTTAAATGTTGTTTTTCTACTCGCGTGCGAAAAGTTATTGCACATTCATTTGCGTACGCAAAGTTGAACTTTTCGCATGGGAATTCTTTGCACACTCATTTTTGTTACGCATGCTTTTATACTGGATTTTTCAATGTTTTGTGAGTTTCTGGATAAACTTATATATTCAGAAAGAAAGGCCTAATGTTATTTTTTTTACTACTAATCTGAGAAATAGTCATTATTCAATCTATTTTTCTAGGGAAAAATTGAATTTCTCTCCCTAGGTTAATAATGAAAATAATGAAAAAATACCTAGGTTTATAATGAAAATGACGTCATGACGCAAGGATATTGTCATATTTTTATTGGTTCAATTTCATACGTCAAATACAAAAAAAATACAGGTTTCTGTAGGTAAATAGGAAATTATCATAAGCTGTGGATAGAGGACACCACTTTCAAGACGGCATTCAAAAAAAATAATTAGAGCACAGATTATCATTTTCCACTAGAGGCCGGTTTCTCAATAGCAGGTCACCTCCGGGTTAAGCTAACTCCAGGGTAAACATTGCAATTTGACACGTTAACCCTGGAGTTAAAACCAACCCGGAAGTGACTCGCTATTGTGAAACCGGCTCTAGCAGTAGTAAAAAAAATCTACTTCTCGGCTGGGCCGTAGCCAGGGGGGTCATTGGGGGGCAATGCCCTATCTTTCAAATGATCATGCCCTACCTTTAAAACGCAACATGCCTTAAGGTTTCTCTAGGAAATTTAAGAGTAGATAATGAAAAGGCCTGGAATCGAATAAGTACGAGGATAAGAGTGTTTCCGAAACCTCCTAAATGTATGCAACAATGTTAGACGTTTTCATAGAGGTAGTTTTTCGTTTCGAAAGGTGCAAATGCAAGAATAACTCTGCCTACGTAATCATTGGTTCTTTGGCGTGATGGGGGGCTTGAAATTTGATATACACAGGCCTTATGATGATAAGCTATCCTGTGATAGTAGTAGTAGTAGTAGTAGTAGTTGTCACTTTTTTTTACATCATGCTAGTAGAAGAGGACACGAATGCACTCAGTTCAGTGCACACTGAACTTACCAATGGATTTTGCTATTAGTGTGTATTATCCTTGGTGCGAATGGTCCAAGGCGGCGCGAGAATCAGCGCCATTTTGTTTACTTGCCAGAGCAGAGACGTTATTTATTGAAAAATTTGCCTTCGGCGCCATTACCACCAGAGTGTTTACCTATAATTTAAGGGAGGGGGGACAAGTATGAAGTAGTGTATGCCCTATATCAAATTTGTCATGCCCTATCACAAATTTGACTCTAACTACGGCCCTGCTTCTCGGTAGAGAAAGTCAATACCATACGCATCACGCATTATAAATCTAAACTATTTTAGGGGAACCCTAACGATAAGTATTCCCTAAAATGACATTTTTACATGGAGAAATGTCAGTTTAAGAGGGCCAGGAACCTGGACCGAAATGAAATATCGGTTCCGTTCCGGTTCCGGTCCACAGCGTCATGACGAATATCGGTTCCGTTACGGTTTCGGTTCTAAGAGAAATATTTCGGTTCGGACCAATAATTTCGGTTTTAACGGTTCATACCGGTATAGTTTTTCACAAATATCTAATGGCCATTTGCACTGACCATTTCAAGAAGCATCCCTTAAAACGGTCATTACAGAAAAAATTATGTTTCTATAATTTGTGGTTTATTTTTTTTTGGATTTCTCTGCCTATCTGCAACAACTTTAATAATCATAATAATTACTATTAATAAAATAAATTTTTGTATTTTCGATCAGTGATGACGTAACAGCGTGTCGTTTCTCGCCTTGACGTAGTGCTTGCACCAGTTACACCACGGATAAAGCCCGTGACACATCTGTCACTTGGAACAGGGAGCAACGTTCCCAGGAGAACGAGTGTTCCGCTGCTTCCCTGTTCCAAGAATAAGGACCTTGATTGTATGATCGGAGTCGGATCGGAAGAATGTATGATAGATGTGTCCCGGGCTTTAGGAGGTGTTTTTCCGCGTCTCAAAGTTTTGAAACATTTTCTAAAACTGGTTTAAATCAGTTTCATAATGACGTCATAATGGAAATGGTTTTAAAACGGGGATTGGATTGTATTTCGAAACGGTTTAGAACCATAGTACATTATTTAATATTCTAAAACAATCCTTGTTTAGATCTCATTTGCATCTTCCTCTTGTCTATTGACTATTTGTTAATCAAGTTTAAATTATATTTTTCATCATACATGTATAGTTTTAACCACGAACGCAAACCGCTAACGAGACCGTTGATGACGTCAGCAACGGTTCAACAACATATGAACTTGATTCCAAAAATCGAAGCCGATGAGCAATCCTGTAGTAATATGTAAATCCTTGGTGTGTAGCCTAGCCGAGTTCAGAAATGCGCGCTGTCCAATGTCCAACGCTCTGTTTTTTAAAGTGTTAATTTTATTATGATACAACCAAACAGCAAACAGCTTAATTTATAAAATCTTGGAACCGAAAAATACCGGTAAGAACCGATTAATTTATATCGGTTCCGGTTCTGCCTGCCCTACAACATTTCTATGAAATATGGGTTTCGTTCCGGTTTTCGGTCCAATATCGTTCCGGTCCGGGTCCCTGGGGCCTTATTCTGTAAGGAATGAACCGTTCGATTCGGTAGAATTTCTTCGATTGTGACGTCATTTTTCGTTTGGTAGCGCGAAAACCAAATCAAAAATGACGTCACAATCGAAGAAATTCTACCGAATCGAACGTTTGTTCCTTACAGAATAAGGCCCCTGGTTAGGGCTTCCCTAAAATAGTTGGTGAAACTAGCCATTAGAAAAATTAAGAAGAAAACGAATTCAAGATCCAAGAATAGACAAAATATGAGATGAAAAAATTGAAAAATAAAGAATAAATAAATATATACTTAAATATTAATAATATTAATAAAAATACCTGAGTAAACATCAAAAAATTTGCAAAAATATGGCGGCAGAGGTGTGGCTAACTTCTATATTCATATTCAAAATTTGCCAGAATATGCTGGTGGTACCGAATTTCTATTTGAAAATATGAAGTCACTGTAGGTGGGCCGGAGTCATTGGAAAGGGTTGAAAAGGAAACAACCAATCAAATACCTTGACAAAACATAAACCCCGGAAAGAGGCGGGGCTCAACTAACCAATTAAATACCCTGCTGATATGGCTCGCATCTGATTGGAAAGGGGCGGGGCTTGTATCCAACCTATCAAATGCTTTGTTGATATCCTTGCGTTTGATAACGAGTCAGCCACAGTGTTGCAAGCTTGTCGGAATTATCCCCTTTTTGCCTTTATGAGGAAATTTTCTATTTTCGTTCGCAAAAGGGTAGAAGCGGAAAGTGGAATTTTTAAAGTCTGTTTTTTTTTTAAAGAGAAAATAGATGCTAGTAGGGTTGATATTATTAAAACACTAGCTGTCTTTATTCAATAAACACAATTGAAAAAAGACAAACAATAAAACTAGAACAATATCTTTATTAAATAAAATCAAATAAATAACATAAATACTACACAGTCATATTTAGATATCGAAAAACAAAAATCCCCCACCCAAAGTGGCTACGGATTGCTTACGAGGCGCCAAAACTTTGTTGATAGTATGCAACACCCCATTGGTGGCCAAATTGTCGCAACTTGTCACCACTGCTCTGTTGATACGCACCTGACTTCCAGTCCTGCCCACTTCGACTTTCTGATTGTCCATAGTCGGAATGAAATTGTTGAAGCCCCAAGTCTGAGGACCAACACCCGAACAACAAAGAACCTCTGTAAAATATAATCAATATGAAACCACTATTATTACGTTGATTGACGTTACCTGTCAAAATATGATGTTTCAGCACTTGTTCGGCTCTTTCTTTATCCTCTCGCAATCTAGTCATGTCTTTCTCGTCTAGAGCGGCAAAAGTTTCGTCGGTGGGTGCCAAAAACGTCACAGAACGATTATTTTCTTGTAGAATTTTCTCGACTTCGGTGCCCTTCAACAGTTCCCTCAAGGTTAAATATTTGTCGTCTTTTTGAATCAATTCGTAAATGTTTTCAGTAGGGGGTGCTAAGACTTTGTTGATTTCGTGCACAACTGATCCGCAGGTTTTTTCATCAAAACCTATCAGTCTTGCGCAGTTGATGGTGGCGCGATTTATGACGTTTGTGAATAAAGGTAACTAAAAACAAAAATATGTTAGTACGCCTATGAATTTGAGGTTATGTTACAGGAAAATTACCGTTGAATATAAATTCACTCTCAAATCCTCTCCTTCCTTGGTAGGGATTTTCATGTTATTTGACATGTCACATGATTGCACTTTTCCCTCGATGACGTGATACTTGATTAGGTCTCGCAGTTTTTCCTTATCGTCACCGATTTTTTCCAAAAGTTTTCGGGCTTGAGGGGTTTCAAAGGCAACATCGGCCGGCACAAAAACTGTAGCGTTTTCAAAATTGTCCAGCTCTTCAGCGAGACCGGCTTTTTCAACTAAATCTTGAAATTTCGAAAAGTTGTGCAACTTTAGGACATTTCCAATGTATTGACCTAAAAATATAACGGCTGATTTAGGTATAATTTTAATATAAAACCTGGTCATACCTGATTCTGGTATGATTAAAGTATCAATCAAATGAATAACTCCATTGCTACCAATCAAATCGGTATCGACGATTTTTGCTTTGCCTTCAAAAATCAACTCGTCATCCATGGTGCGTTCCATATTCAACACGACGCCCTCTACGTTGTGAGTTGTTGCATTACCAATAATGGCCGCCGAACATACCGTGTGCGCCACAAAATGATGCTTGAGAATATCTAAAAAGAAAAAGAGAAAACTTTGACAATACTGCTTTATGAATGTGTCACTATATCAATCAATAATATGATTAAAATTATTACGCACGTTCATGGTTTTTATAAACTCCGCCCACTTTGATGCTCTACAATTTGATATGGGCGGAGCTTAGTAAGTCATTGGCGGAGTCTAAAAGTCCATAGTCAAATAATCAAAGGACTTTGTATACTTACTAGATGCACATCCGCCTCCATTTAATAATTTCTGTCGTTGAACTTCATCCAATTTGGCAAAAGCCTCGTCAGTGGCGGCGAACACGGTATAATGCCCGTCCGGTTTGAGTTTTTTAGGGATTTCAGTATTTTCTAGGATTTTTTTGAAACTTGTCAACTTTGGATGATTCCTGATTATTTCCTCGATGTTGTCAATTGCTGGCGGTACGACTTTGTCAACTACGTGCACCACTCCGTTGTCAGCTAAAATGTTGCTTTTTTTGACGCGTGCGCAATTGACTGTCAGCATTTTTTCGTAGGTGTGAGTCGGATAAATGTTGATCCTGATTTTTGAGCCTTGAACATCTTCGCTTTTCAGTTTTTGTTCATTTTCCAGGTCGGCCAATTCAACAAATCCATCGGTGGTATGGCTGAGGACTAAATCTTTTGAGGTTAGGGCGTTTTTAAGGGTCCTCCTTCTTCTAACTGGATCCACAATATTCTAAAATACATACATAATTGAATTATTGAAAATATTCAATCAAAACATCTTACCATGTCGTTGAGTTTTTCATCATAATCATGCATTGCGTCATCACTTGGCACGAAAACTGTAAAGTTTCCAGCTTCGTAGGTACTTTCCAGACCGCTCGATTTGATCAAGTTTCTGAACGCGTCCAGTTTCAGGTCTTCCAAGGTTTGAAGCACCGGTTTCAGATCAACCTAACCAAAAAACTCAGAAATTAGGCACAACGAGACAACAGTGTACGAATAATATTTCTGTCAAATGTCTAAAATTTGTGTCAAATGTCATTTTTTATTTATTCTCGGCTCTTGAATTTGTTAAAAATGAACATTCAAGCGTCTGCAAGAGACAAAACATGTAATAGTAGATTTTACGTTGCTTGAAACCAGCCCCTCTTCTCTTTTTTTTTTTTTTGGCTAAACAAGGAAGGCCACGCCTCTCTATCTCAATTAGACTCCTTTTCCAGACCCTTCATTGGTCGTAGTACAAAATGGCCGACAACTAACAAAAATGGCTGACAACCAACCTCATATTTTTTTTTTCAATTTCTCTACATTTCTACTTTAGTTAACTCTTAATTTTTCCGTGTCAATTTTTGTTTATTCCTTATGATTAACCGGAAAAGGTACGCCCATGGATTGTATGAGTCCGCCCCTTCTTTATTATTAGCAATTAACCCCGCTCATTTTGGGTCTATGAAAGACGTCTAAATAGGCGGATCTTCGCTAACCATAGGCGTACTAGATATTTTTCAAACAAAATCCCCTTGGAAAACACTCATTTTGAAAAATAAGGTTTTTTGATCTAGAATGGCGGCAAATTTAAACTCAAATCAGTGTTGCCAACAGGTTTGTAGATTGATTAAACTTACACACTGTTGCCGGCTTTTACTCAAAAATCGCCCAAGCCTTAAAATTAATCCTATATAAAACGGCAACAATGTTTTTACCAGTGACAGTGTGTAATTTTGAGTAACCTTTAACCAAACTACTTCCATGATTTCATGAACACAATCGCTTTTGCGAGAAACTCATGACGTCATATTCAATGTTGTTCGCCGGAAGCATGGACGCATGTTCCAAGGGCGGATATTATAAAACTACTTTGACAGTTAACTTAAAGTTAACTTCTGGAATTACATAAGGAGGAAGGAGTTAACTTTAAGTTAACTGTCAAAGTAGTTTTATAATACCCGCCATAAGCCAAACTCATGACGTCACAAGACGAACTATTGATGAACTGAATTCAGTTTTTGTGTACCAATTTTTTCTGAATTTCTTTTTTTTATTTCTCAACTTTTTCTGTTCAATTTTTGTTGATACCTGGCTCTTGGATTTGTCAAAAATGACGTAAATTCAAGAGCCTGGAATAGAAAAAATATGAAGATGCTGATCCAATATGGCGACTGTGGACAAACAAGACATTTACATGGCATTTTCAACTGAAAAAACACTTAGGTTATAATAAAATGAAAAAGAAATTGAGTTCAATCACAAAACAACCACACAAAAGTCTGTGTACTCTTATACGGGATACGGGGACTCTTTTTATTCCAGGCTCTTGATTGGCCAGATACAAAAAGTAATAGGTTGCCTGGTAATGGGTAACTCGATGACGTATCTGGGGTACCCTATGAAGATTTGCATTATACTGAAGCACCCCGGATGACGTCATAAAGTTACAAAATTTCAATTTTTCCCACTTTATCTCCGTCTCTTTTTTACTTATTCAATATCGTATATAGTAGGACAGATACAAAATACATATACCTACAAGGCCACTCAATCGCCGAGCCGAGAACAATTAAAATTCGTGTCACTTTTTATATTTGCCTACTTTATCTCTATTTCTTTTTAACCCATTGGAATATCCACATCGTTTCTATCTCCCTCTCTTATTCCAGGTATCTCATGAATACCATTATCGTTCTCCTTTTATTCCAAGACACAAAAATTTAGCCCACCAACGAAATACCTGTAACATTTTATTTATTCCACTCTGTCTCCATCTCTTTCTTACTTATTTAATTTCTTATATTGCTGTCTCTTACTTTAGTAGAAAGTAGAACAGATACAAAATGTACCTACAAAGCCACTCAAGCGCCGAAAATAATGAAAGTTTGTTTCACTATTTTTTATATCCTACTTTATCTCTGACCCTTTTTAACTCATTAAATTATGATATCGTTTTTCTCTCTTATTTATTCCATAAGTTTCTTAATGTCCAGCCAAACGCAAAAACTACAAGGCCAATCAAGCTTCAGGAAAAGAAAATATCTTCCACTATATTTTAATCCTATTTTATTTCCATCCTTCTCTTACTCATTGAATATCTCATAGGAGTATATTCCTCTTTTCATTTCAGGCTCTTGATTGGCCAGACAGAAAAAATTAACCACACTTTATTTGCATTTTTTTTTTCCACTTTTTTAATTTATTATATCGCTGTCTCTTTCTTTATTTTTCCTTGTTCTTAGTAGGACAAATATACAAAATGGCCACTCAAGCGCCGAGAATAACCAACGAGCGTGTTACTATTTGTCATTTTCTACTTTATTTTCGTCCCTTTCTATTTCATTAAATTTTTATATCGTTGCTTTTTCCTAATAACAAAATATGTTCCATAATATTTTAGTCCTATCTTTCTCTTACTCATTCAGTCATATGGATAAAGTGTAGAAGATGTTTTTACTCTATATCCGTCTCTTTTTATTGCATTATAAATGAATATGTTTATCTCAAAAAGCGAAAGCATTTGCTTCTATTTTATTCATATCAGACTTTTGTCTTTTTATTCCACACAAAAATTAGCCACTAAGACAGCGGAAATAAACAAAATCCACGTCGCATGCCGAGAATATTCAAAGTTCGTTTCACTATTATTGTTTTCCTATTTTATTTCGATTTCTTTTCAACCCATTGAATTTCTATGTCATTTTTCTGTTTCTCTCTGTCACTTTTATTCTCAAGGATGATACACACCTACCAAGATATCGGCCTCGTTTTTGGTAATCGCCGCCATATTGGTGTGTCACCATTTCCGACGTCATAACAAAGTCGTAAGCTGTTCAATAGGCTACGTCAAAGCTGCCTACGTCACAACTGGTAATTTGGCGCGGGGGCGGGGGGATATTTGTTACACACAGACCTTAAGCCTAGTACTCATAACCGCGAAATTCGCTCTTTTTTGACATTGCTTCGACAATTTGACGTTTGGTATACGCATAAAACGTCAAATTGTCAACGCAATGTCAAAAAAGTGCAAATTTCGCTGTTATGAGTACCTACTAGGCTTTATGAGAATAGATCATCCTTGTAGTAGAAGTGTACTGTATCATCCTTGAAGCCAGTAGGCCTTGTAATAATGTCATTTTTGTCAGTTTTGACAGTCGGCCATTTTTAATTGACGTGTTAACATTTTTATCCAGTTTTTCCTCGAATTTTCCGGTTTTCCAGGACTTAAAATACGAGGCTTTGGATTTCCAACATTTTCTGCCAAAAATTTCCCATGGGGTACGTGAGAAAAACTTTAATTTTATCAAGTAGGCTTTGGAATGTTGGTTTTTCTTGGGATTTTCCGCTTTTCCAGAGCCTTTTTAATCGAAAAAATGTGATTTTAAGGGCGAAGCTTTAAGTTTGCTTCACTTTTTTCATCAAAAACTTTCATTTTTAGACTTATATTATATCCTACTTTATCTCCCTCTTTGTCTTACCCACTTAGAATGTAGTTTTCGTTAAATTTTGTTAAAAATCAGTTTCTATTGCATTATTTTGGGAACTTATCGTTTTATAAACATCATTTTTTGATTGTTTAACTAAATTTAAAACAAAAAACCATTTAAAATCAATTTTTTTCCTATTTGAGATGTGGCAACGCCGCTTTTAATCAAGTAGGCCTTGTAATGAAATTTCATTTGCCACTTTTGCTTTTGATAGTTGGCAATTTGTATTGACGTGGTTATATTTTATCTAGTTTTTCCACTTTTCCAGGCCATTTTCAGTCGGGAAAACTGGTTTAAAATACGAGACTTTGAATTTCCTTCATTTTCCGACAAAAACAAGGGGGTAAGTAACGAAAACTCAAGTTTTATCAAGTAGGCTTTGGAATATTATTTTGGCTGGTTTTTCTTTGGATTTTCTCCATTTTCCAGGCTATTTTCGAGCGGGAAAACTGATTTGAAGTACGAGGTTTTGAGTTTTCTTCATTTTCTAGCAAAAATTTCCACTTTTGCCATTAGCAAAATCAAGGCCACTCAAGTGCCGAGAATAATCAAAGGTTGAGCTACTTCTTCTTTTCCTACTTTATCTGTATCACTTTTTAACTGATAGAATTTCTATATTATGGTTTCTCTCTCTCAATTATTCCAGGTTTCTCATTGTCCAGATACAATAACATTACCGTTCGCTTTTCATTCCAGGCTCTTGATTTTCCAGACAAAATTACCAACTGAGACGCCGAGAATACACAAAATCTGCTTAAATTTTTTTTTAAATTAATTTTATCTCTTTTTCACTTATTTAATTTCTTATATCGTTATCTTTTACTCTAGGTGAAATAAAAAAGGGCCACTCAAGTGCAGAGAATAATCAAAATTCGAATCACTATTTTTTATTTCCTACCTTATCCCTGTCCCTCTCTTACCTTTTCCAGATTTCTCAATGACCATGCGCAAAAATTACAAGGCCAGCTACCCGAGTTCACTAAACTGTGCTATAATTTTATCCTATCTTATCTCCATCTTTCTTTAACTAACTCATAACTCATAGTAAATTCCCGTTCACTTAAATTGAACCCAAATTCCCGCCAAAAAAAAAAAAAAACAACAATATATAATTTTTGACAAGTTGTTGGATTGCCTAATCTAATTTGACGTATGACAACTTTTGATAAGTGATAGTAGGACCTGATCAGTTGCTGTTTCGTTTTAAAAAGAGATAAAACAAAACATGCAAATTCCTACCTGTTTGGTACATCCGTCAGAATCCTGTGTACGCTTGAACCCGTAACAGCACTTATAGCGTACCGTGAAGGTTTTAACCACACCATGGTTGTTAATTCTGTTAATTAAATAGTTTAATTAAAAGAAGATTATTTTTGTATATTTATTTACCTTGTCACGCACTCGTACTTGTTATCAGTCTCGAAGCAGTTGCTCAGACGGATCGAGGTCGAAAACAAGTTGCGATTTTCCTGCTGGTCGGTGGAATTTTCTTTGGTTGATTCTTCTTCTTCGTCATCATCGGTGCTTTCTTCACGTTCAATGCAAACGTTGGCACTGAAAAATTAATTGGATGTTAATCAAGTATTGCATTGAACTAAAAAATCTATTCTAATTAGAATTATATTGTGAAACTGTAACAGCGATTAATATAATCATCAGCATACAAAGGACATATATATACTTTCTCTTGAAAATGGTTGTTTATTTATATGTGAAACTAGTTCTTTGTCATTGGGTTAAGGTGGTTGAACTCGACCATGATGGTCTAAATTTATGTGGGTGGTTGTAACTAGAACATGCATTGAATATCTTTTAGTCTATACCAGATGAGGAAGTTTATAAAACTAGATAAACTAGTGCAAAAAAAAAAAACAGTACAGCAACAACTGTACTCTAAAGGTTCATTAAACTTGGACTCGCTAATTGCTGACTTTGCTCGAGGTGTAAATCGAAGCGACACACATTTTATCGCTTACTTTGTTTATTTGTTGAAAGGTTTTGAATAAATATTTAAAGATGAGTTGGTAATTTAATAAAAGAAAATATAAAATACTACATATAGCAGTACTTTCTATGACGTCACATACATTGCAATTTCTTTGATTTTTGACAAATACCGGAAATAGTAGGCGATTCTTGACATATATAAACCACCTTATACCAATGAAGTTATTTTTTTTTTTCATCAAAGGTGACCATATGGAATAAAATTTTATCAAGTAGGCTTTGGAATATGACATATTGTCAAATAAAGTAATATCGTTTTTCTTCTATAAGTGGTTATGTAAATTCTTTCTATCAATTTGAAAATCATTGTCAATTACTTTGACATTGTACAATAGGCGAAGTTGGTTAATCTTCCACAAGTTAAGAGGCACTGATGACTTGTGAAAGAAAATATAAGATGTGAAATAACAGTACCTACATATTTTCTATGACGTTACAGTGCAATATTTTTGATTTTTGACAGATATCGTAAGACGTTCGGATAAATACACGGAATAATAGGCAATTTTTGGTAGCTGCAAAACATCTTATCATAGTAGGCTTTGGAGGAGAGCAACTTTTTTGACATTTGTTGAAAAAAAATTCAAATTATTAAAATTATACAAAATTGTCGTTATGTATGCAAATGGGCCAATATTTCGGAACGCGCCCAAGGAAAATGTATAGTTTGGGGACTTTTGGGAATGCCCGATTCAACGGTGGTATTTGAAATGTTGCCAAGTTTCCTCTCGTCTACCATTTTTTTCTCAATATTTCTACATTTCTTCTCTAGTTAATTTCTAGTTTTTTCGTCTCAATTTTTGTCTTTTCCCGGCTCTTGAGTTTTCGCTTTCTCCCAAAGTTTTTTTATTAGAGAAAATTCATGAGATTGGAACAAGATTGTTTAAAAGAGGTAGGTTGCCTGATAATTTAATGACGTCATCCAGGGTGCCTCAACATAATGCAAATCTTCATAAGGCAAAACCTCCAGACTCGTCATCAAGTGACCATTATACCAGACAACCTATTAGCTTTCCCGCTTATTTTTTGTTTATTCCCACACATTGCACATTCACAAAACAAGTAGGCTTCGAAAATCAAGGATAGTAAACCCAAAAAGGTTGTCTGGATTATTGATAATCGAAATTGTTCCAAATGACGTCAATTGAAATAACGTCATCGGAATGTATAGAGTATGCGGAATAGTGTATTTCTCAATTTCTGTTAAATTTTTCCCGCTCATTTTTTGTTTAAGGAGCATTTACATAATTCACTTCTAACTTCAAGTTAAATTTGACGTTTGACATTTTATCATTTACATTGCAGAATCATGATAAAAAATAGAGAGTTACGTCCAATAACAAAATAAGCAGTATTTATATTAGCCTTATTTTGACATCTACGCATACGCATTTGGGTTTGAAAATAAGGATTCCCTTAATTAGGTTACTGCTTGTCTTTATATGTGCATGGTTAGTGCAAGGTAGTAAACTTCCGTTATTTCAATATTTCTGACATTTTTGACAACTTTGACGCTTCGCTCTTCGACGATGAAGTAATTTTACTTAGAGAATTTGCTTTTTATAATAGTTTTTCATTTTACTGTAGGTGACATTAAAAAATGGATATCACTAGAAAATTACAATCAAAAATAAACACTTTTTGAGGTTGAAATTCATAAACATAGCTATCAGCTGTCAAAATTATGAATACAAAATAGGGTAATACTCTAACATCTACTACAGTCTTCCAATAACTGTTATTTTCTTATAGAAATAAAGCTGATGCACTAATAAAATAACGTAAATCCTTGATACTGCGAGGTAGTATTTAATAGTTCCAATAACTCTCTAATCCAATGAAAAATTTGACATTTCACAAAATTGAAAATTGAAATTTCACAAAACATTAAAGCTGGTTATGGAACATCGTTTTATCATAGTAGGCTATGGAAATTCTGTCAAATTTATTATCAAAAGTGATATTGTTTTTTTTTTTTTAATAGGTGGCTTTATGAATACTGTCAATTTAAAAGTTGAAAAATATCAAAATTACCAACATTAGGTATACAGGGTGGTCGTTATGCATAAAAACGGTCTAATATTTCAGAATACTTCAAAGTACCCAATAGGCCAGTTCGGTTGATCCTCCGCAAATTAAAAGACGACACTATTGACAGAAAATATAAGATACGAAATAGCAGTACTCTATTCTATGACGTCACAGTGCAAGTTTTTCAATTTTTGACAGGGCTATTTTTTACATCAAAGGTGGCTATGGAACATCGTTTTATCATAGTAGGCTATGGAAGTTCTGTCAAATTTATTATCAAAAGTGATATTGTTTTTTTTTTTTTAATAGGTGGCTTTATGAATACTGTCAATTTAAAAGTTGAAAAATATCAAAATTACCAACATTAGGTATACAGGGTGGTCGTTATGCATAAAAACGGTCTAATATTTCAGAATACTTCAAAGTACCCAATAGGCCAGTTCGGTTGATCCTCCGGAAATTAAAAGACGACACTATTGACAGAAAATATAAGATACGAAATAGCAGTACTCTATTCTATGACGTCACAGTGCAAGTTTTTCAATTTTTGACAGGGCTATTTTTTACATCAAAGGTGGCTATGGAACATCGTTTTATCATAGTAGGCTATGGAAGTTCTGTCAAATTTATTATCAAAAGTGATATTGTTTTTTTTTTTTTTAATAGGTGGCTTTATGAATACTGTCAATTTAAAAGTTGAAAAATATCAAAATTACCAACATTAGGTATACAGGGTGGTCGTTATGCATAAAAACGGTCTAATATTTCAGAATACTTCAAAGTACCCAATAGGCCAGTTCGGTTGATCCTCCGGAAATTAAAAGACGACACTATTGACAGAAAATATAAGATACGAAATAGCAGTACTCTATTCTATGACGTCACAGTGCAAGTTTTTCAATTTTTGACAGGGCTATTTTTTACATCAAAGGTGGCTATGGAACATCGTTTTATCATAGTAGGCTATGGAAATTCTGTCAATTTATTATCAAAAGTGATATTGTTTTTTTTCTATAAGTGGCTTTGTGAATACTGTCAATTTAGAAGTTAAAAAATATCAAAATTACCAACATTATACAGGGTGGTCGTTATGCATAAAAACGGTCTAATATTTCAGAACACTTCAAAGTACCCAATAGGGCAGTTCGGTTGATCCTCCGCAAATTAAAAGACGACACTATTGACAGAAAATATAAGATACGAAATAGCAGTACTCTATTCTATGACGTCACAGTGCAAGTTTTTCAATTTTTGACAGGGCTATTTTTTACATCAAAGGTGGCTATGGAACATCGTTTTATCATAGTAGGCTATGGAAGTTCTGTCAAATTTATTATCAAAAGTGATATTGTTGTTTTTTTTAATAGGTGGCTTTATGAATACTGTCATACTGTCAATTTAAAAGTTGAAAAATATCAAAATTACCAACATTAGGTATACAGGGTGGTCGTTATGCATAAAAACGGTCTAATATTTCAGAACACTTCAAAGTACCCAATAGGCCAGTTCGGTTGATCCTCCGGAAATTAAAAGACGACACTATTGACAGAAAATATAAGATACGAAATAGCAGTACTCTATTCTATGACGTCACAGTGCAAGTTTTTCAATTTTTGACAGGGCTATTTTTTACATCAAAGGTGGCTATGGAACATCGTTTTATCATAGTAGGCTATGGAAATTCTGTCAAATTTATTATCAAAAGTGATATTGTTTTTTTTTTTTTAATAGGTGGCTTTATGAATACTGTCAATTTAAAAGTTGAAAAATATCAAAATTACCAACATTATACAGGGTGGTCGTTATGCATAAAAACGGTCTAATATTTCAGAACACTTCAAAGTACCCAATAGGCCAGTTCGGTTGATCCTCCGCAAATTAAAAGACGACACTATTGACAGAAAATATAAGATACGAAATAGCAGTACTCTATTCTATGACGTCACAGTGCAAGTTTTTCAATTTTTGACAGGGCTATTTTTTACATCAAAGGTGGCTATGGAACATCGTTTTATCATAGTAGGCTATGGAAATTCTGTCAATTTATTATCAAAAGTGATATTGTTTTTTTTCTATAAGTGGCTTTGTGAATACTGTCAATTTAGAAGTTAAAAAATATCAAAATTACCAACATTATACAGGGTGGTCGTTATGCATAAAAACGGTCTAATATTTCAGAACACTTCAAAGTACCCAATAGGGCAGTTCGGTTGATCCTCCGCAAATTAAAAGACGACACTATTGACAGAAAATATAAGATACGAAATAGCAGTACTCTATTCTATGACGTCACAGTGCAAGTTTTTCAATTTTTGACAGGGCTATTTTTTACATCAAAGGTGGCTATGGAACATCGTTTTATCATAGTAGGCTATGGAAATTCTGTCAAATTTATTATCAAAAGTGATATTCTTGTTTTTTTTCAATAGGTGGCTTTATGAATACTGTCAATTTAAAAGTTGAAAAATATCAAAATTACCAACATTAGGTATACAGGGTGGTCGTTATGCATAAAA